CTGCCCCCAGGGCCCCTCCCCTGCTGGGCTCCTCCCCCCACCAAGAACACACTGCCCTCTCCCAGTCAGCGTGTGTACAAACACATGTGTGCACGCCATGAAAACCCTCAGCTTCATGCGTGTGCACACATCCACATTCATGCTCCCACAGAGGGCTCAGGTACACACACACACACACACACACACACGTGAGAGAGCTCTGTCACAGGCACCGCGACCTCACAGTGACTAATCCACCCACACCTACACATCCTCCATACCTGGACCCAGTGTCCAAGGGCCAGGGGGAGCCCTCAGCAGTGGGCACTGGGGTTTCGAGGGGACTCAAAGCCCAACACCCAGCACCTCCACCTCCTGAAAGCCCTTGCATCCAGCCTGTCAGGTGGTCTGGGTTGTATTTTGTTGGGTTGCTTTGTTTTGGGGTTTTCTTTGGGGGGGGGCATGGCTAACTGCATCCAGGCCTGTCCCCAGGCAAGAAGCTGCTGTGGTTGGTGCAGCTGCAGGGACAAGTGGGCCCCAATCAGGCATCAAATACAGAGACTCAGTGCTGCTGGCTCCTCAAAGGAACTTATTATCCCAGAACTGAAGAAGAGAGCCAAAGGTTCTTTGCACACAAAACATCAGCAATCAAGGCGCCTTGAGCTAAGAACAGCAGAGACCCGCGCTGAGCCATGCAGCCTTGAACCTGGCTAGCACAGTAGACACAGAGCCCTCCTCTGACCTCCGGGGACGGGGTTTCAGTCGGGACCTGTTCTTCCTTACAACAAGGGTGGGGGACATCTGTAAGGCCCACAGAAACACCAATACCAGCTAACAGCACACGCCTCACCAAAGAGACGTGGTTCACATTAGGTAGGGGTAAGTTAATTCGATGTTTGATCAAATCTAGCAGGCTAAGTTTTAAGTTGCTAATTTTGTGTGGCCTGTGAATGATGTTATACATACCCAAATGGCCCGTGACAGGAAAAAGACTGCCCACTCTTCCTTCACAGGGTCCCCCAGTAACCCCTTTGCTAACCTTGGTCATACTCTGCAGTTCTGCCTTTATTTTGCACGTGTCCCCAACCTGCCAGCAGATGGAGTGGCCTGTGGGAGCAGGAGCTTCCTGGTCTGCCGTGGTCCTTGCTGCAATCCCGGCACCTTGCACAGGGACTGGCAGGGAGTGGGTGCTCAAGAAATGTCGCCTCAGTTGGTGGGTGGATGGATGGATGGATGGAGGGACTGAGGAACACCGAGAGAAGAAGTTCAGGGAAGCATTTTTAAAAAAACAAAAACCCGGAGTGAGGGTGGGGTGGAAAGGGGGAACCAATTACAAGGAGCTACATAAAACCTCCTCCCTGAGGGATGGACAACAGAAAAGTGGGTGAAGGGAGACATCAGAGAGTGTAAGATATGACAAAATAATCATAATTTATAAATGATCAAGGGTTCATGAGGGAGGGGGGAGCGGGGAGAGAGGGGGAAAATGAGGAGCTGACACCAAAGGCTCAAGTACAATGATGATGGCAACAAATGTACAAATGTGCTTGACACAATGGATGGATGGATGGATTGTGATAAGAGTTGTGGGAGCCCCCAATAAAGTGATTAAATTAAAAATAAAATAAAATAATTTAAAAGCCCCCAAACTAAACTAGCTGCCATCGAGTCAATGCTGACCCATAGTGACCCCTGTGGGTTTCCAAGACTGTAACTGCTTTCTCCCTCAGAGCTGCCGGTGAGTTCGAACTGCCGGCCATTCAGATTGCAACCAGACAAACATTCACTACACCACCAGGCCTCCCAGGGAAGCACATGGGCTTGTTGTTGCTATTATAGAGGAAAGACTCAGATCTCCCTAAAGATCTGCCTCTTGACCAGAGCCACTATCCCCTGCGCCCTCTGCCCTCCAGACCTGGTAGTGTTGGGTGGGAGGCTGGCCTGCTTGAGCTGGCTCTGCAGAGATGTGACACCCTGTAGCTACCGGGCAGCGGGCCCAGGTGCAGGGGTGGAGGGACTCCTGGGAGATGTTTTTCTACAGGAGTGAGAAGGAGCAGGCACGAGGAGAGACAGGGCTGTCAATTTAATACAAACACCTTGCAAGGTCCCTCCACTTCCCAGGATACTCAGGGGTAACGGGAGAGGGTGGGCCACAGCTCCAAGGAGCATCTTCCTCAAGGATAAGTGCCCCATGCTTCAACGTAACCCAGCTGACACGCCCACTTGTCTGCCCACCTGCCTCTACCCGTGCAGTTCCCTCTGCCAGGAATAGACCCTTTTCCTGCGTCTCTGTCTGTTGACCTCCTACTCATGCCCCAAAGGCCATCTCCATTGTGACACTCTCCTTGCAGCTGCAGCCTTTGCCACCAGGGTACCAGATGACAGCATTTACCTCATTTGGCCCTTTCTGAGGCTGTGAGCTCCCAGAAGGCAAAGGGAGGTCTGACGCCACTCGGCCCCAGGACCCAGTTCGGGGTGGGGTCCAGAGAAGGGTGGCTTTGTTCTCCCCTGGAAGAAAGCTGAAACCTTGACTCCTGGCGCTGCCCATAAGTGACCAACCTTCCAAATGGTCCCCCTCGCAAGGCTGCTTCCCTCAGCCCCAGCAGGGCAGCCTCATTACAAGGACCCTGGCAGCCCAACACTGGGGCCCGTAAGGACTGTGGGGATGCCAGCCCAACTACCCCTGCCAACAGCAGGTTTATGGCAGGAACAGAAGCTGGGGCAAGTGGGGAGGGGACACGGCTTGGGGGAGAAGCCAAGACAGGACCAAGGCACCCTCAGGCAGGCAGACGGGAGATGGAGCCAAGCACCCGTGCCCCACCCCCCTGAAGCTGCTCTCAGGTTCCCCCAGGTGTTCTCTTCCTCACCCGCAGCTTGGGAAAGGTCAGGTGCCTCAGAACCCTCTCATTCAGTTTTCATGAGCCTGGAAGAAGTCCCCTGGGAGCATCAAAGCCTGCTCGTTGATCAGCCTGAGCCCAACGCTCATCCCTTACTGAGGTGGCAGTCACCTCTGGAGAAGTTGTTGTTGCCGTGGTCCTTAGGCTTGGCTCTGACCCATAGCAAGCATACGCACAGCACCATGACACCTGCCCTGTCCTGGGCCTTTCTCACAGCAGGTGCTACGTTGGAGCCCATCAGTGCAGCTGCTGGGTGAATCCAGCTCTTTGATGATCTTCCTGTCTTTCTATGACCCTCTACTTTACAAAGTATGCTGTCCAAGAAGGGACCGGGGAAGCAAGACCCCAGCAATGACAATTTGGGGGCCATTATTGGTTAAGCACTGGGCTGCTCACCACAAGCTCACCACAAGACCATCAGCCACTCCTCGGGTGAAAGACGGGGCTTTCTACTCCCATACAGAGTTACGGTCTCAGAAACCCACAGGGGGCAGTGCTACCCTGTCCCATAGGGGTCACTGTGAGTTGGACAGCCCCAGTGGCAGTGAGTTTGGGGTTTTAACCCTTCCATTCCCGGGACATGAAAGGGCCTCCAGCCTCCCACCACCACTACTACGGGGACAGTAGTGATTTACTGGGGAAATTCTCGCCTTCTGGGCAGGAGGCCTGAGTTCTAGTCCCAGCAGTGTCCCTGTGTGTCCCTGTAGAGGTGTGTGTTGCTGTGAAACTGAACATGGAACTTCCAAAGGAAGACAGATGGCGGGGGGAGGGGAGGGTGCCTGATAGTCCATTTCTGAAAACTAGTCCACGAAAACCCAGTGGGCCTCAACCAGCTGACCCCTGGCTGACTGTGGGGGAGGACAAGGGAGGGGTACCATTTCTCTCTGTGATCTTGGGGCTGGCATGAATCAGGGGTCAAATCCACAGTGACTAAATGGACCTGTATACTGAAGGGGAGACTGGAAGGCAGGTAGGCCCCCACTCCCTACTCCCCCACCCATTGAGGGGCAGTCGATCCCAGCCCAACCCAACACCAAACCCACTGCCCTGGAGCGGATGTCAATGCATAGCCACCCTGAGGGACAGAGGCGAGCTGCTCCGCAGGGTGTCCCAGACACAGCTCTATGTGGGAACAGCCTGCCTCCTCTTTGGAGAGGCCGGTGGGCTCGGCCGTGCACCCTGAGGCTTGCAGCGGACTGCCTTATGCCCTGCACCATCCAGGCTCTCCAACCCCAGCCAGTGGGGCAGGAGGAGCACTGTGAATCCTTGAAGGGGCAGCAGGTGCAGTGGGGAGCACTCGCCTGGGTTCCCCGACCCACCCTTGAAGGGCACTTTCCACTTCCTGCTAATGTCCCTGCCCCACTCCATGCCCCAAGTGCTCCAGGAAGTCTGCCTACTGCTCTGGCTTCTGCTCCATCCACCTCCCTAAATCTGGCATGGGCCTTATGTCCTCCCATGCGGCCCCCACCCCCATGAGCCTCCTCTCATCAACGCCCTCCTCCACTCCAGCCACCCAGATAACTGCGTGGGTGTCTGTCAATGTCCTGTGTCCTTCCTCAGTATCTCGGTCACTTCCCACCCCGCTGTACCGGTGCCCTCTGTGGACACTGATGCCCCATCTGAGGGATGGACCAGAAGCAAGGTCAAGGCTGAGCATTCACAGCTCCAAGAAGGGGAGAGGGGCTTCAGGGGGGCTTTGGCACCCTATGTAGTTGCTAACTGGCTCCCGGGGCATCATTCTGCCCACTAGGGGAGAGACTGAGGGCTGGCTGGATGGGAGACACCCCAGATTCCTCCCATATCCTCATTTCTTGCCACTCCAACAACCTGCTATTCTCTCTCTCTCTCTCTCTCTCTCTCTC